CTTTTCACTGGGCTATAGTGGTCAAAAAACTACTATCACTTCTAGAAGAGGCACTAAAGTGGTAGCCTACGCGGATGACATGGTATCCTACTGCAGGGTAAGTTCCCGCAAACTCTTTGCAATCTAATGGTGGACGGCTGACTGTGGACGTGGAGTTAAATCAGAAAAGACCGAACGACTTCTTTTTACATGGAAGTATAAGATACCAAATCGAATTCTCCAAAAACTTCAGCAAACACGCCTAACCCTTAGCACTCAAGCAAAGTACCTAGGTGTCATTCTTGAAAGTCATTTTTTATCCCCTATTTTAGTTCACTGGCTATACACTGCAATAGTAAGGCCCATTCTCCTCTACGGAAACATCGTTTGGTAGCGTTCCCTAGAAAAGAATTATAACCTCAAGATCCTTCACAAGATCCAAAGAAGCGCAGAAATCTGCATCAGTGGGGCACTCCGCACCAGCGCCACTGAAGCACTAAACACAATCCTCGACCTTCAACCCCTGGACCTACTTGCCAAAAGCTGGGCATCAGCAACAGCGCTGAGGCTCCGCGAAGCAGCGGCATGGACAACAGGATCTACGGGTCACTCCAGTATCCTAACAAGCCATATATCCATACCACATATTACAGACTACGTTCCACCCATAGTCAACTTCAGAAGAAGATACATGATCTTCATACAAACCGGTACATACTGGGACAACCTTCCACACCAATTCAAAAACGCCGTCAACATATACACAGAAAAAAAAACGAGCCAGGATCAATTTAATATGCGCATGGTAAATTTGTGTTTTATAGACACATATCAATTTTACCATTAACTAATGTCAAATTGATACCAAACAAGGAAGAACGCTATAGTCGAGTACCTCGACTATCAGATACCCGTTACTCAGCTAAATAGAGATATGCAAGTAGCAAAGCGAGATTAAAATGCGCCACCTACCGGCGGTATACAGATTTAAGCGTTATGGGCGTTAGAGTGGGCGTGGCAAATTTTTTTTGGACCAATCGATAGGTTTTGTCGAGACCAATACATTTCAGCTAAAATTTTTTATCTAGCATAAAAATTGTGGGCGTCACAGGTTTTCACGGCTTGTGGGCGTTAAAGTGGGCGTGGCATGTTCGCGTAACAAAATTGCGCTGCGTATAAGGCTACGGAATCTAAATCTGAAATCCCAATTCTCTATCTTTGATAGTTTCCGAGATATCCACGTTCATACTTACGATTTATTGAAGTTTGTGGGCGGTTTATGGGCGTTAGGGTGGGCGTGGCAATTTTTTTTTTGGTCAATCGATAGGTATTGATGAGAACATTACATTTCAGTTAAAATTTTTATTCTAGCATCAAAACTGTAGGAGCCACAGTTTTGGGCGGTTTGTGGGCGTTAGAGTGGGCGTGGCACTCTACTGAAACAAACTTGCGCTGCGTAAGATGCTCAGGAATCTGCACGCCAAATCTCAATAGCCTAGCTCCCATAGTTTCCGAGATCTCAGCGTTCATCCGGACAGACAGACGGACAGACGGACAGAAGGACAGACGGACATGGCTAGATCGACTCGGCTAGTGATCCTGATCAAGAATATATGTACTTTATGGGGTCGGAAACGCTTCCTTCTGCCTGTTACATACTTTCCGACGAATCTAGTATACCCTTTTACTCTACGAGTAACGGGTATAAAAATGTGAAGTTGTCGAATTCTCTTTTTTCCGAAATTCTTTGACATCGAAAAAGAGAGGATATAGCAATTTGACGACATCAATCACGTGAATGGAAGCGAAAAAGATATATTCGAAATTCGGATTGACCTACTTCGATCACGTTGTATCGCTTGCAGTTACACACGATGTAGTGGATTGCTTATCACTTGAGTTTAATCGTGATGCCGGTCAGACGTACATTGTCAGTGTTTCCCTAAGTGCGCATAACAAGGAAAAGGTGACTAAACTTCATATATAATGTGTATATGTCTAAAGTGTTATGAAAACATAGTAACATAATAAGTGGAAAAAACTAAAATCGTGTGCGGTTTTCTTAGAGGCTTTTTTTATATAACTGCCCCACGACAACGTATGCGTAAGCGTGTGTATGTGTAGAGGCTGTGTCAGCGTGAAAACAAAATTAATAAGTATGTCCATCTAACAATAAACATAATTGCACTCAAACATAAACATATTTTAAAATGCGCTTAAATATATGTTCGGATGTATGTACATGCCTATTAATAATTTTTTCTACGCCGCCCTGCAAAGTCGCTTCTCATCTACATACATATGTATGTATAGACAGATGCATAAAATTCATAAAATTTTGCATATTCTTGAATGTCTTTCACAAATTTTTTTATTATTCAATTAATTAAGGTTTCAAATTTTAGCAAGCCCCTTTAAGCTTATGTGATGGATGCCGAACTGGAATCTTATACGATTGTATAAAAACTATAATTATAAGTTAATCACAAATAAGAAATTTTAGTTAATAAGTATACATAATTAAAAAAAAAGACCCAATGTAAATATCTAAAATAATGTGTAAATAAGAAATACTGTAAATATTTTGGTATAGGTAATAAAACGTATATGAAAATTAAATAAAATAAATAATAAAAAAATTTGGTATATTATTTTTTATTTAAAAATTTTTTTGACATAATATCAAATTAACAATAATATAAATTTGGTATTTTTAATATCCAATCTACTACAATGTAATTTTGAAATTATAATATCAAATTTACAATAACATCAAATTTACAACAAAAATATTTCAAATAATTTATACCGCTTAATGTAAAAATGATATCACCGAAATATAGTTTTTACCATATCGAACATATCAAATTGATATGTGCCGCATCAAGGCCGAATTTATACTGGATTTCATCAAATTGACCATCATATCAATTTTTTCTTTCTGTGTGCACAGACGGCTCCAAGCTTAACTCCCAAGCAGGTAGGGGAGTTTTCTCCCCCGAACTAGACATTAAAGTCTCATTCCGCCTACCAGACCATTGTAGAGTTTTCCAAGCGGAAGTCATGGCAATTGAGGAGGCCATGGCCCACCTGGACACATCAGAACATCGCGACATAGAAATTTGTATATTTTCGGATAGTCAAGCAGCCCTCAGGGCCCTCGACTCCTACACAACAAACTCAAAAACTTTCTCTGAATGCCGCAAATCTCTTAACGCGGTGGCCACTCATCTGAGAATCAACCTCATCTGGGTGCCTGACACCGTAATTTTGAGGGCAACTGCATAGCAGACAAGCTAGCAAGAAAAGGGACAACCGCCGACATCCTTCGCGATAAGGACACGGTGGGTATGCCCATGGCTACCTACAAGCTCCATCTCAGGCAGAGACTGTACACACTCTCCAACAACCGTTGGAACTTAAAGTTTATCCAACCAAACGTGTTCGGTTGAATCTTATTGTTTTTATAATCCACCGGTTTGGTATAAGGAATTCCATTAGAAGTAGAAGAATAAAAAGATTAATGATTCCATCGACCAACTACTAACCAACTACTGATTTTCTAATTACATCAGCATAATTTTCATGGTCAAACAAATCGTAATAAGCAAGCTCCATCACCAGTTAAAGGGACAACAGAGTAAGGAACAAAAGCACCATCAATATTTAAAAAATTCAATATCTTAAAATGGTTTTAAGATATAAATTAAATAGTTATCTATTTACCTTTTTTTTCTTAGTCTGTATTATTACACTTTTTTTCGTTCGCAATATTATTAAGTTTGGAATGTTAGTAGAAGAAATTACAGGCAGTCTAAGTATAATATTAAATTAAATTATATTTTTTAAAATGTATTCTGCTTAGTTTCTCAACGCAATAAACATAAGTTTGTTTTTTTTAATTTTATAACTATAGATAAAGCTAAAGAGCTTTTTTCCAAACTCAAGGCCTAATCGGCTTGACGTAACTTATTGTTATAATGTTTAATAAAAGGTTTAAAGACGTTACTTAAATAATTTTGAGACTGCTGAACTCGCTATACAACTCCGCCTTAGCAACCAAAAAAGCAAACAAAGGAAAAATTTGGAAATTTTCAGTTTTAAGTTCTGCCGATTACAGGTGAATTTATTAAAGCAACAGTTTTAAAAATTAAAAATTTCACAGCCCAACAAAAAAAAGTATATTTATTTCGACCACTAAGGCTATAGAGTCAGCTATAGAGTTATTTTCTAACTCAAGGTCTAATTGTTTTAACAGAACTTATTGTTGCGTAGCTTTTATAATACGTTAAATAGGCGTCACTCAAATTATTTTGAGCGTACAGAGTATTATTACACCAACTCCGCCTTGGCAACCAAATATCAACTTATTATACCCGTTACTTGTAGAGCAATAAGGATAACCAGACTCGTCGGAAAGTATGTAACAAATAGAAGGAAGCATTTCGGACCCCATAAAGTATATATATTCTTGATCAGGATCACTACACTGGTAGAAAAAACATCGTAAATGTCACTATTTCGCCAACGTTTCAACTATTTTTCCCAGCGGTTTAGAACCTAACATGAAAATCGTAAAAACGAAAACGTTAAATAGTTAAATACTTTTTGAATAATTTCGTAGTAAATCCAACGATTTTTTAATTTCGATCAAATATGTTAAAATAGTACAAAATAATTAAATTAAATATGTTCCATAGTAAAAAGTATTATATTTTTATATTTATTTTAAATATTTTCATATTTAGTTCCAGTAAATAGAACATTTCATTTGAATGGTTTTTATAGTTAAAACAATTATAGCCCGCCCTCAAACCCAGCATATCTTTATTTGGATTAAATAATTCTCATATTTAAATCAGACTGGGATGAACTTTAATATAAATACAAATTTTATTTAAATTAAATATAATCCCCGTCAAAAGAACTGTACTTTATTTTTGATTTAAATATAGTATTTAATCCATACTAATATGGTGCATATTCAATTTAAACCAATCAGTAGTTTAAAACAAGCGTGATTTATATTTAATAAAGACCCAAATAAGTATGTGGTTTTATTAAAAATAAACGTAAACTTATAATCCAAACAATTCTGCTTAAACTCTATTTTTACCATGCTAACACGTCATCATTACTTTTGTTTTAAATACATTTGTACTTAACGTAACTCTTAGAATTTATATGATACATATATACATATACATATTATTCATTATTATACATATTATACATTATTATACATATTATACATTATTATACATATTTTGTATAATCACACATTTTTTTGTTTTGCCACGTTCGTACGCCTGCATGTGCGTACAAAACTTTCCTGCGAGTCATAAAAGTGATAATTTCTTTCGCTTGTTGGTTCCTTTAATGACGGTCCACGAATTATTTAAGATGACAGATGTGAGCAATACGGTGTAAATTTAGTCCTTGTAATCTGTGAATAAGAATATGTTATTAGATTTTTGGTAATGGCATAATTTAGAAAAAGTCAAGCTTATCATAAAAAGATAAAATTTATAAATTTAAAAAAAATTATACATTACCAAGTGATACAGTTTTCTGAACTGTCTTTAATAGTTTAAGTTGCTTTTTGTTTTGCATTTGCTCTTCGTAAAAGCAAAAAACCTTTTCCTTAAATGGGTCCCATATATCAAATACAATATGTTGAAATAAATTTGTATCTATAAAGAAAAAGTTAATAAGTTTTATAATAAGTTTCGAGTAGGTGTTTTTATATAAACGGATTTAAATAAGACAAAAATATTGTTTAAATTTATTTCGTTTTTATTTTTTTTTTAAATATCAAAATTAGTTAGATTTAAAGAAAAATCACGTGAAAGAACCAAAAAAATATTATAAAGAAATAGATGAAACGACTGCGACGCCACAGAACCGAATGCAACGGCAGCAAAGCGTCTTTTTTGCGCCTTTTTAGTGTTTTCCATCTCGTGCATTCTACTCCTTTTAATTTCCTTTCATATTCTTCATTTCTTTCGCGTATTTTTTATCCACTTCATGTTTATTACCCAATCGCATATATTTTATTGTTTTTAAATGTAATTTTCTTTTGAGCTTTGTTTATTTCGTTAAATGTATTATCTAAATTTTCACGAAATAATAACGCGCACAACAAAGAAGAAACTCAAAAAGGAAAAATGCGACAAAAAAAACGTGGACATGCACATGCCTTAATACTAAGTAATTATTGTATTTTTATTTGACTCACCTTTTTTCTATACTTTTCACTTTTATATTACACTTAAATGAACACTTGTCTTCCGAGCTCTATTAATCACTTTTACATCCGATCAGGAGAACCGCTTGCTTCGAAATGATCGCGGGATTCGCTACAAAGCGGAGTGTCAAAATATTTCGCATATACATACATACATATGCATGTGTGCAAAAGGGACGCACAAAATCTGTAGCGTGCCGTTACTTTACAATAGAGGTCAAAGTAATGGGGAAGAAAATAAGAAAATATGTACAAATAAGTCCTTAAGTTTAATAACTTGTATATGTCAATTTAGTATTATTTATTTTATTTTATTATATTTATATATTATAAGAACATATCTTATTGTTAAAACATCGGTACACAAGAAATATTTATGGCTTCTGCACATACATATTTTCTTGGTCACCAATGTACAAATGCGAATGGAAGAAGAAGACGCGCTTGCGTTTGCCGTTTTGCTTGTTCATATTTGTCTCTAATTTGTCTGAATGTATGTAAGTATGCACATTGTGCCGTTGGTTTTAGTTTTTCGTTACGGCCCAGCGTTTACAATGCACGCACATTTTTTCTTTGGCTAAGCATGTTTTTGTACTTTTAATAGTAAATTACAAAGCCAAATCTTATGATAATTGTCATGGAAATAGAAAGAGGCTGCCGGTGGTTGGGCAGCCGTAACTAAAACCCTTTTCCTTAAATATTATTTTATTATTTATTTTTATATTATATTATATATTATTTATTATTTTATTTTTATATATTTTTCTTTTGAAAATTACTAATAATTTAAATTATGTTGTGTATATGGGTCACAAACTTAATACATATACATACCTATGTATGTAATTGGATTTATAATTTACAATTATTTGGTCAAATACAAATTTTGAAAACGTTCTATATTCAAAATAAAAGAGTAAATATGCCGAACAAATTGAAAAAGTATTTACTTGAAATATAAAAAACCATCAAATATACTATGAATTGAACTACTTTTTATAATAGTTAAAACCAAGATGGCCACATTGGATTTGAATGTGACTAACTTGTTTTTAAATAAAAATCACTTTGAATTGAATACTTACATATTTGACATACGGCTTAAATATGTTTTTTATTTAAATGAAAGGTTTTAATATTTAATATGACTATGCATGGGAGTAAAAAAAATCAAATAAAAATATATTTGATTTCACTTCGTGTTTTTTCTACCAGTGTAGCCAAGTCGATCTAGCCATGTCCGTCTGTCCTTATGAACGCTGTGATCTCGGAAACAATAAAAGCTGCAATACTGGGAAGTAGGTAGGATATGCGGGTTTTGGAACACTTTTTTAACGGAAGCGAATTCTGGCACACTTTTTTATGCGGGTTCTGGAACACTTTTTTACCGGAAGGGGATTCTGGCACAAATTTTAAACGGATTCTGGCACACTTTCTTATCGTGAGCGGATTCTGGAACAAATTTTTATGGTGAGCGGATACTGAGTCACAGTGGATTCTTAGTCACAGCAGATTCTGACTCACGATTACGTGTGTTCTGAGGGCACGTGTTGTGTGAGTCAATATAATAAGGCGGAAGGAGGCAGTTATCACAAAGCTCAGTTCTTTTGAAAAGAAGCGGTTACAACAAATCGCATATATTTTAACGCGGAAGGAGGCAGTTATTAGGTAGGAGTGGTTGGAGACTAAATTTTAGTCCCCTCACTTAGGCCACAATGGGCCCCTTGTGCAGTTATTACAAATCGCAAATATTTTAACGCGGAAGGCGCCAGTTATCACAAAGTTCAGTTCCGCCGCCCCCACATAGTTCGCACGCTTTATTATACCCGTTACTCGTAGAGTAAAAGGGTATACTAGATTCGTCGGAAAGTATGTAACAGGCAGAAGGAAGCGTTTCCGACCCCATAAAGTATATATATTCTTGATCAGGATCAGTAGCCGAGTCGATCTAGCCATGTCCGTCTGTCCGTCTGTCCTTCTGTCCGTCTGTCTGTCCGGATGAACGCTGAGATCTCGGAAACTATGGGAGCTAGGCTATTGAGATTTGGCGTGCAGATTCCTGAGCTTCTTACGCAGCGCAAGTTTGTTTCAGTAGAGTGCCACGCCCACTCCAACGCCCACAAGCCGCCCAAAACTGTGGCTCCTACAGTTTTGATGCTAGAATAAAAATTTTAGCTGAAATGTAATGTTCTCATCAATACCTATCGATTGACCCAAAAAAAAAAACTTCAAAAAATCGTAAATATGAACGTGGATATCTCGGAAACTATCAAAGATAGAGAATTGGGATTTCAGATTTAGATTCCGTAGCCTTATACGCAGCGCAAGTTTGTTACGCGAATATGCCACGCCCACTCTAACGCCCACAAACCGCGAAAACCTGTGACGCCCACAATTTTTATGCTAGATAAAAAATTTTAGCTAAAATGTATGTAAAAAGGCCACGCCCACTCTAACGCCCATAACGCTTAAATCTGTATACCGCCGGTAGGTGGCGCATTTTAATCTCGCTTTGCTACTTGCATATCTCTATTTAGCTGAGTAACGGGTATCTGATAGTCGAGGTACTCGACTATAGCGTTCTTCCTTGTTTTTCTCTCGTTTTGAAAAGAAGCAGTTATCACATTTGCACGGATATAGTTATCAGAAGAAGCAGAAAGAGGTAGTTCTCATGCTTTGTTTTTCTGAAAATGGTATAAATTCTGAATGCACAGCACTAGAGTAACTTAGAAGTAGCTTGAGCTATATAAGTTATACTCGCACAATATAAGCAGCCCTTCATGTCTCAACCTCAGGATCAATGAAATGAGCTGGGAGCCGTCTCTTTGCCACCTATAAAGAGTATAAAGTCGTTGCCGTTCAACAAACCAACCGATAGACAAAGGATGAAGTGAAGAGAACCAGATTCGGAGATAAAGTCATGATCACATGCACAGATTTTGATGTGTTCCTTTCGGAACGGTTTACCTCGTTGTCTAAGACAACGCTCGAGCACGTTGCGCAGGGTGACTTCAAATTTGTAAAACGACGGTGATAATTATACTCTCAAATTTTATCAAGAGTAATAAAACGAAAAACAATATATAAACAAATAAAAATGGATGTGATTATTGGTGAATTTTGTGGAAACACTTTTCAGTATATAGCTTCCTTAAGACGGCACATAAACATGAAGCACAATCCTGTGTCCAATGACAATCCTACGACAAGCAACAATTCTGCAATTAGTGAAATAGGTTTTTGTGACGTTTGTAATCTAAATATTCCAAAAATTAATTGGTCGCATCATTTACGCACCAACATACATAAACAGTTATCTAGTAAGCAAATAAATGATAACTTAAGGTGTATACGAAGTGCGTTTCGCAATCGTATTGAGACGTATTTAATTACAAATCGTAATAAAGAATGCCTGAATATCATAGTGTTTCAACAATCTATTAAAGAACTAGTAACTAATTTACTCAAAGACGCTCAAAAAACGCATATCAATATAAACTTTATTTTTGAACAATCTTAAGGGAACGGGGACTACTGCCAAATCAATTTAAAGTCACTTCAAACAAAAATGCAAATTTTAAATCAAACAATGTAAAACAACAAGTAAAATAATAAATGATTTTTATGAGTACATAAACAATGAAATGAGTGAATTTCAAGAAAGAGACAGTGGTTGTTCTTTCATTGAAATAGTACATTTGGAAATAAATATAAATATCAGCCCATAAGGGGGTCAAATTTTATTCCTTTACCGAACAGAAAAGCCTGCATAAATTTTGTTCCTTTATTTTTTCATAATCTCTCAGCATATGATTGCCATTTGTTTGTGAAAGAATTATCAAAAATTCCTGGTGAAATTTCCATAATTCCTTTGAACAAGAAGTTTTACATATCTACTTCAAAGAGAATTGTGATAAGAAAAAATGAAATTTTAGAACTCCGATTTTTGTATTCGTTTAGATTTATGTCGTCCAGTTTAGATAGCTTAGCTGGTTATTTAAAAGAATAAAATTTCTATACGATAAAATCATTTTTTGGAGAAGCACACAAATTTGACATGGTAAAACGCAAAGGTATATTTCCCTATAGCTATTTAAATTCAGTTGAACGATTGAAAGATACACAATTACCGCCACGTAAAAAGTTGTATAGTCAAATAACTGATAGAAACTGTTCTGAAGAGAGTTATGAGCACGCACAAAACGTTTGGAATGTCTTCAAGTGTGAAAATTTATTGGATTATTTATTGTTATATTTAAAGGTATACGTGCTTTTGCTATGCGACATCTATGTAGAGAAAGGCTTCCATTGGCTTCCGTAAATATATTTAAAGATTATTAATAGTTTATTCTTTGATTAATACACTTCATTGATACAGTCTTTTATACTTAAGTTGACGCATTAATTATTACTGAGACACACGCGACCTTCCTCTGCTGATGCTCAATCCTCCTCTTGCGCAATTTTCACGCTTTTTAACACTAACGAAAAATGTTACGGAACAGAACAACTGATCTGTTATTAATAGGGCTGCCAATCCTACATCTATAAGAATTTTAGAAAAGTGTGTAAAAAAATCTATAATTTAGATCCATGTCAATATTATACAACGCCTGGTCTATCCTGGGATGCAATGTTGAAAGCAACTTAAATAGAATTAAAACTTCTCACCGATATTGATATGCATAATTTTATAATGAAGAGCATTAGAGGTGGTCTTGTTCAATGCAGTAAACGTCATTCAATTGCAAATAATAAATATCTAGGGAACGATTACGATTGTAGCGAAGAACCAAACTATATTGTAACTTAGATGTCAATAATTTATATGGATATGCCGTGTCGCAATCTATTCCATATACAAATTTAAAATGGATAGAAAAAACAGAAGGAAAAAATTTTGAAAATTTTGATTTAAACACATGCGCAGATGATCAATCAATTGGTTATATTTTAGAGGTAGACTTAGAATACAGTGAGAGTTTACACAGTCAGCACAATGATTTACCATTTTGTCCGAAAAACAAAAAAAAGAAAATATGAAACAAGCAAAATTGATTGCAGACTTGACAAACAAATATAATTTCATAATTCACTATAGAAATTTACAACAA